CAAATCACCTGAAATTATAATACAGACACTAATTAAAGAATAATATCTTAATTTTGTGATAATTTCTATGATTCCGGTATACGATTCTATAAACCACATTATTCAATGCTGAATTGTGATTACAAATTGTTAATAAATATAATTAAATATTTTACTTATTTTAAGTAAATATTATATTGAATATAAAGCAAGTTATTCTTAAATACAAGTTCAGTCTTTATAATTACTAATTAGTATTGAAAACATTCACACTTTTTGCTTACAATTATGAGAATTTATACATTATTATATAACAGAATATTCATAGGAATAATAATAATTTTTAATTTTGTTATAATAAGAAAATTACAAAATCTAGAATTCATACCCAATAAGTCTCTATTCGGTCCGATATCTACTGAATTCCAATTAAAGGATGTCTTTGATGGCCACATAGTATATCCCTCGTGATGTTTGCTCGTCAGTACTACATATTTAGCACCCGATGCTCTGAGCAAAGTATTAATATATTCAAAATTTGCAATTACTTTATAATTATCGCTCAATCACTGGACACTCACTTGAAAATCTCTGCCCAATGGTTGGGGTCATAGAATTCAGCGGTAAACTGATGGGCAAAGTCGGCGTAAGTGAAACCGGGCTTATAATTATGGGACATGAAGTCATTGTAGGCCTTGTCGTGCGTTCCGCTCCAACTCCACCTAAATATAATTACGTTCAATTGGTTTAATACTACATATAATAGCAAAATGATTGTCTCAAACCAACCAAAACCATTCGCTGCCAAACGACGGCACAGAGAAGACTCCCCAGTGTATGAAAATGCCAATCTTTGCCTCGTCGTACCAGCCCGGCAGTGGTCTCTTGTCTATTGAGTCCCAATTGGGCGCATACTTTTGCTCGTCAGTCACTTCGTTGTCACTGTTTGGCAGACAATTGGCCAAAACAATGAACACAACGAAAATAATGCAATATTTAATTGAATTCATAATGAATTCATTAACTCCTAAGACTCACAAAAAAACTGAGCCTTAAATACTATGACAGATGAAAGTATTTGAAAACTTATCTATTGGTTATAAACTATTGATGACAGATATGCCAATCATCTCAAACGAACAGTACTTGACTTTTATCACCCGTTTTATAAACTTTTAATAATTATTTGAGCACTAAATGTGCCTATTTTTGTTAGCATCAACATAAATTGTGTAAACAATTTTATCCCATTTCAATTAAGTAAATATATGAAACCACTGTTAAAGTGGAGCAAAAATGTATGCGATTCTAGACATAGTGTATATAAATGTTATTGTGTACCCGAGTTTGTGCATCTGTACACACCTGTAGAATAAAGTGATGCCCAGAATCTAAATTCCAAGTCTTAATCGTAACTATTATATCAAAAGATTAAAGTTATTTAAATGTCACAAATACTGAGTTTGAATGAGTGCGGGTTATGAGTGCGGGCATTGGGGGTGCATTACATTACTGTTACATTACATTATACCGTTTTGTAGATCTCATATTCTTCCACAATAATAGTTTATTAAGTGTTTACCAAATCTTGTTGTCACTCATGTGTAATGTACCGACAATTATATAATAGACTTTATATTATAGTTATGTATACGTAATGTCAAATATTGTTACGGTACTATCTTTAATACAACTATTAATACAAAATATATTTAAAGTGCAGCAAATAATTTTTCAATAAAATTCTTTTTAACCATACAATTACTTTATATATTTCACACCAAACGACCGTTTCCTAAATTAAGAGAGCAATGAATCAATTTGTCAATTCAAATAAATTCTAAATTCTTGTCCTTTGTATGGGTTAATGACAATGAATTATGTAGTAATGAATTACATTTCATTTATTATTTTATTAATAATTAAATATCAATACAAACAAAATATAATCAAATAAATTAGTTGAATGTGAAAAAACACGATTCAAAAGAAATTTAATACAATTATTTAAATCTGTTTATAATTTATTTACTTTAATATATAGTCAATAATTGGGATAAAACTCATAATTGCTTCAAAAAAGCACTGATTTGAAAAGACCTACAACTATATGGTCTAAAGTCATCGGTAAAGTCGCGCCAAATAACGAAATGATGAAACGATGAGTTTTGGATTCGTTGCTCTGAAAATACATTTATAATTAATTATAATTTAAAAAACATTTGAATCAAAATGAGTACTTAAAGCAATTGTTGTAAAACTCTTCCAACTGCTCGGGAGTGGCCGACATAATAGTGGTGGGGTTTTGCTCCCGAATTGCTTTCAATGTACTGCCCAACCATTCCTTCACCAACTGTTCAATGAAATGATAATTATTAAAAATATTTGCAACAAACAAAACGATTGAATCAAAGTATACATACCATGCGATTCCACGTTATAAGACTCCATAATATGTCAGACATATCGGGAACCAAATAAGTGGGCAAATGAAAGAGAGTCGCATTGATGGTCGCCTCCACCAGTCTTTGGCCGAGTCTTTCTTTAAGCAATTTGTCGATCAATTCTTTGGAATATTTAATGTCAATCAACTCAATGACAAACTTCACGACTGAAGAGTTCGCTTCTCTGTGGTCTAACTGAATGGACGCCAGCGTTAGATTCAGTATATTGTCGAGCATTGGATTCGTTAGGAACGAAATGCTGCACTTCTGAAGAGTACTGTTTAACAACAAAATAATAACATTTCCATTACATTACATTTTTGTATCAACATTTGGCTCCCAATGCATACCGAGTGCAGAGTCTGAAGAAGTCGTCGATAGTGTCGGGATGGAGACGGAGCTGAGAGTCGCACAACAACTTGAATGTTGTCATTGAGAACTCCTGTTAACAACAATTTCAGTTAATTACTCATGGAATCAAACAATGGATATATAATAGAGGCATACGTTAAGCATTTGAATGAGTCCTGTAGTGATGGCCACCTCTTGTTCATTGGCGAACTCGTCCACTAGAATGGATCCTAAGTATAGAAATGACGAATGCTTTGGGAACTGTTGATAAAGAGGTACGATTTGGTTGACGATAGGCTGGAGGAGCCACGAGGGCCGGAAACATCGGATCACGAATCGCAGACAACGACAGCATCGCTCTATGAGCTGAGGATTGGTAGCCGCGTGTCCGGTGAGGGCAATGCTGGCCAATGGCCACAACTGGTCGGTCACTAATGGGATCAAAAGCTGAGATTGCAGTGACGACTGAGTCAACCGAAGTTTTCTAAAGATGGCGGCGATTCGGTCGAAGTAAACGGCGCTTCCGTTTGAATTGGTTTTGCTGTTCACTAACTCTTGAAGTTTCTCCAAATGCGGTGTCAATAACTGAGCCACGAGTTGGTCCTGATTTTGAATAGTAGTCGATATAATGGCTGCACAGCATTGGAGCAAATTATTGGCCGCCTCTTCGTTCTTAATGAAGTCGACTCGACAACAGATTTGTATTAAAATGGAGACTAAGTTTGCGTTTCCAACCAAATGCTGTGAAGCGCACGACTCGATGATGTTTTGCAGCGATTGTGCCGCACATGAAGACAACTCTTCATTCTTCTGCGAATTTGCGATCATATTTAGCAAGAAATTGAGAATTGGGTCCAAAAACACTGGATTTGCTTTAAGCCATTCCGAGAGTTCGCCTAAAATGCCGCAAATGGTGGCATAGATTTGGATGTGTTGTGTGTTTGGATTGAGAGTCGAGTAATTCAAGACTAATCCAATCAATTCTACTATCACTTGATTGTCTTCATTGGAATCTCTTTCTCCTATAATACAGTCTATAATGAAAAGATTGGATTCAATCATTTCCCACGCATTGACGGTCTTTATTGTGTCCAATATATTGTTGCCTAAGATATAGTTATTGACGCCAATGGTTGCGATCATTTCTTTGACTAAGTCTTTCACTCGACACCTGAGATCATACAAATCAGACCTCGAGTCCAGCATATCTTCGGTGTCGGCCTCCATCTGACAGTGTTTTGTGAGCGCAGCCAACAGTCGAAGACCACTGCCGGGCTGGTACGACGAGGCAAAGATTGGCATTTTCATACACTGGGGAGTCTTCTCTGTGCCGTCGTTTGGCAGCGAATGGTTTTGGTTGGTTTGAGACAATCATTTTGCTATTATATCTAGTATTAAACGAATTGAATGTAATTATATTTAGGTGGAGTTGGAGCGGAACGCACGACAAGGCCTACAATGACTTCATGTCTCATAATTATAAGCCGGGTTTCACTTACGCCGACTTTGCCCATCAGTTTACCGCTGAATTCTATGACCCCAACCATTGGGCAGAGATTTTCAAGTGAGTGTCCAGTGATTGAGCGATAACTATAAATTAATTGCAAATTTTGAATATATTAATACTTCGCGCAGAGCATCGGGCGCTAAATATGTAGTACTGACGAGCAAACATCACGAGGGATACACTATGTGGCCATCAAAGACATCGTTTAATTGGAATTCAGTAGATATCGGACCGAATAGAGACTTATTAGGTATGAATTCTAGATTTTGTAATTTTCTTATTATAACAAAATTATTAAAAATTATTATTATTCCTATGAATATTCTGTTATTTAATATTGTATAAATTCTAACAATTGTAAGCAAAAAGTGTGAATGTTTTCAATACTAATTAGTAATTATAAAGACTGAACTTGTATTTAAGAATAACTTGCTTTATATTAAATATAATATTTACTTAAAATAAGTAAAATATTTAATTATATTTATTAACAATTTGTAATCACAATTCAGCATTGAATAATGTGGTTTATAGAATCGTATACCGGAATCATAGAAATTATCACAAAATTAAGATATTATTCTTTAATTAGTGTCTGTATTATAATTTCAGGTGATTTGGCGACAGCAGTGCGCAAAGCAGGTCTTCGTTTCGGTGCTTATCATTCATGGTTTGAGTGGTTTAATCCGTTATATAATCAGGATAAAAATAATAAGTGGAGTACTCAGGACTTTGTTAAAGTTAGTAAATTTTCATTTCACAGTCACTTTATAATTCTGTTTACGATTTGACACAAAATATTTACAAATTAATAACAAAATTACTGTAATATTAAGACTAAAGCGCGTCCAGAATTAGAAGAATTGGTCAATAAATACAAACCAGAAGTGATTTGGTCTGACGGCGATTGGGATGCGCCCGACAGCTACTGGAACAGCACCGACTTCTTGGCCTGGCTTTATAACGAGAGGTACAATATTAATAAAATGATATTATTATAATGTTTAATAACTTACAAATCTATATTCAGTCCCGTGAAAGACACTGTTGTGGTTAATGACAGATGGGGTAAATATATTGAAGTTGTTTAAAAACAATTGCAATTAATAATGAACTCAATAACTATTGATAAGGTGCGGGCATGAGTTGCAAACATGGAGGTTTTTATAGTTGCGCCGATCGTTACAATCCGGGAGTACTTCAGCCCCACAAATGGGAAAACGCCATGACTTTAGACAAGTCTTCGTGGGGTTTCCGACGCAATTCACAACTCAGTGATTATTTAACTACACATGAATTGGTCACTACTTTGGCTCAAACTGTCAGGTATTGAGTAATTTTATAATAGATTCCCCTTTTTTGATAATAACTGCACACATTTATTGGAAAAATATATAACTTATACTTGAATATAATTATGATGACAAAGTTGTGGCGGAAATTTGCTGATAAATATCGGTCCCACACATGACGGAATAGTTACCCCGATGTTTGAGGACCGCTTGAGAGAATTCGGTTCATGGCTTACAGTGAATGGCGAGTCTATATACGCGACTACTCCGTGGAAACACCAAAACGATACCATTACTAAAAACGTTTGGTAAGAATTTAATAGTAATTAACAAAAAAGAAATGGCAGTGATTTGCGAATCCATTGATCTCCAGGTATACACAAAAGGCAAAGTCTGTGTATGCAATAGCACTGGATTGGCCGCAAACCAATCAACTAACTCTGGGAGCGGTTGACACCAAAATTGTCGATACAATTCAACTGTTGGGAGCGAAAGGCAATCTAGTATTCAAAGAGTCGGGCACTTCAACTGTAGTGACTTTCCCACAACTGAGTCCCGGAGCACTATCTCTAGCATTTGTTCTCAAAATTAATACAAAATAATTATTTTGTTTTTATTTGTAATGAAATATTACATTTAAAACAAAACTATTTTAAAGCAAATAAAGTTTCTAATATTAATCAATATTTGGATTTATTTTGAAATGAACTCATAAAGAGTTGTATAGAAAAGAAACGATTATCTCGTCAATAGATGTGAAACATTTGGTTAATTAAAAGTAATGATTCAAAGGCCCTAAATTGTTACAATAATGTAGAGTCAAAATTATAATTGCTATTAACAATTATGTTAACAATTTAATAAAGAATAGAAATGTAAAAAAGTTTGATTTATTATCTAGTTACAACAGTGTGTAAAATGGTTAAAATAACATTTAAATTATAATCGATTCTATTATAGTTAAATTATGTGTTTTCAATCATTACGTATATTGAATGCAATCCAATAATTAGTGAAAGCAATGATGGTTTAAGACTAGAGCGACCAAACGCTCTAATATGGATTCGTTCAAGAGTGGCCATGTTCTCTTATTAATATAAGTTATTAATAATAATAACTTATTATATAATTTAAATGTTAGTCATTTAAAATAGTTATTTCTATGTATAGTAAATTCAGTTTAGAATGCATTAATAACATTAAAAGTACCTTGTGGATTGTATTTGGTTACATAGTTGACGACTCTACATAAGATTATTGTTGTCTTCTATTTATTATGTGATTTATTTGCGGAAATTGTATTCAATTACTTTTAAATGACTTTTAAAGCAAACTATTTTCCTCTAATTTATCACTTTATGTTAATCTCTAATCAATATTAAATAAGTTCTATATTTATTACAAGTTTTAAATAATTATCTCATTCTTTGCATTTATTATAAGATAAACGAAATAATAAAATTTAATTATTAATAATTTTACACAACATATAATATGTGGTGAATTTGATTATGTAATCTAACAAATAATATAATAACTGCCGTATTTCTGCGAATAAATGAATTTACATTATTATTTAAGTATTAAATTAACCTTATATTAAGAAATTCAAAGAATAAATCAATTGAAATTTAGTATCAATTATATGTTTGTCAATATCTCATTGATTAGGAGAGAGGATATAACTTACAAAAAATAAATGATATAAGTTATCACAATTAATATTTATACCACATTTTTATGCACACTATTATACTGTATTGTATTGTAAATTTACATGTATTTGGGCTCAACTCATATGCATTAATTAGTACCATTCAATTGGTTACTAATCACATTCACTCAATATAAATATCAGTTATATTTTCTTCTGATATCCTAGTCTTACAATTTATTTAAATGTTACGAAATATATGTGTTGTTAGGATTTATACAGATATCACAAATTAGATTATTTGTAATCAAAACATTGATAATAGTTATGGATTAATTGAATTGGTGTTGAAATATTTATTATTATTTACTCGTATTATTAGATATAACAGTAAATATGACTTTTACAATAAGAAATAATATGTTACTTAATAACCAATTGTTGCCTTAATATTATTTGTTTATATAATAAGCATAAATAACATTGAGTTGCAAAGTGTTATAACAGTTAGTAAATAATGTTTCGTTAAAACTTATATTATTATTTTGATTAATTTTTATTATGATAGCAGAAGAGCTCTCTCTTAAGGCTCTTAACACAGCATTCGTGGGAACGATGGGAACGATTCTCAATACAAATCATCGCAAACTTT